TGTTTTGTCAGAAAATCTTTTTTTAACATAAACTTATCTAACTAATCACTTAGTCTAAAATGTGGCCATAACAGATAATTTTTAACACTTTTTTTTATTTTTTATTAATCTAAATGAATGTGTTAAATTTGGCAGCCTTTGACACCAAGCTAGGGTGGCTGCTGCCTCAAACACAGACCGTTATAAACCTTAAAATATTAGTTTTTCAATATCTAGCATTCACAGCCCAATTTCTTCAGAAAATGCCTAATTGATGTTACTGTTTCTCATCACCTATACCTGGTTTAAAGTAATTGTTATATATACATGCACATTTCTTAATGGACTAATTCGCCAATTAGTTTATTTGTTAATGGATGTATGATGACTAACTAGTTGTGACATACGGAGCATCGAGAGTGTTTAAAAAAAACAAAAAACGTTTGGTTCTTGAACATCACTCCGGTAGGCTCTTCTCGGAACCTTTGCCTGATTGTTGCTCACCGCGGACGTATTTTGATGGGGCACACGGACAGCGAGCGAAGCATCACCGGCGGGACATTCTCGTTAAAACGTGAAGTGACAGTAGGAACTGCGAATAAATCCCGTCCGCAGTCGCCATGGAACTAAATGTCTGTTTTATGTTGTTGATAGAAATGCCGAGGTGCGTATCCATTTTGGGAGGCTAACAGTCGAAGCTAATTCACTTAATTAAAAGCTTAACGTTACTTAATTGATGGAAATGAGCCGCTACTCTCAATGACAGTGAGCCAGTTAGAGGAGTAAAGGGAGAGTTCACCTAAAACCACAATAAAACTATTCGTAGCATGTGTGAAGGCTGAATTTACAGACAGTTTTGGTGCGATATGTGGAAATAATGTAGCTTCATAAATCTTCAAATGTGTGAAATGTTGAATAGCTACTTATTATAACGTTAATCTGCCGACTTGTTATGAATGGTCAACTATTGTGTGTTTGTTTATGTGTGGAAATAAACTGTGGGCAGTCATACCTCTGGTAACTGTTCAGAGTGAAATGTCCCTTTTTAATGTGTTTGTTTAGGAGATAAAACAAGCTACATAACATTTCAAAGATGGAGCCCCTTGCCCCGAATGCTGAGGTTCGCCTGGCAGTGGCCCAATGTTTCCGGACCCTCAGTACATCCACAGACAGCGAAGACATCATTCCTGCTCTTCAAACACTCCACTCTTACTTGGATGAAGGACCAGAGAGTGGGACCACTTCAGTTCAGCGGGCAGAGTTCAGGAGAGCTCACTTCACTCGGACCCTTCAGTTCCTTGTCAGCAACATCCAGGCCGACTGGTTGCACAGCCTCACAGCAGCCCAGCGCACGGAGCTATGGGACGGCTTGTTCCTCAGAGGCCCTCCGGAGCAGGCGCTGCTGGTGCTGATGGAGGGAATAGGAGAGCTGAGGTGGGTGGTGGTGGGTAAGGGATGAGAGGTATGTTTATCATTTTATCTGTTTTTTTCTGTTCACTAATTACTCCGTCTTTCCACCACAGACCCTGCACAAATCTGAACCACTTGGTCGACATCACTGAGAACTTCCTCCGGCGTGGTCGACTCGCTGAGCTGCTGTGGTCCTTCTGTCTGGAGGCAAGACCCTCCGACTCCCCCCAGCTCCGAGAGACTCTGCTGGGACGTATTGTGGCGCTGCCGGACCTCACGGCCAACAGATTACATCCAAACAACAGGCCTCTTTTTCTTCCTCAGCAGTACTACCCACTACTGGCCACAGAGATGCTCACTGCCCTGGAGCGGACCTGCCAAGCACTCAAAGGCAAAGGAACATCCAAAAGGCACTTTGCAATGTTTGCAGTATGCGTCTTGTGTCAAAGATTCGTTGTTGTGATATAAAAATCTATTTATCTGACTTGTATGTTTAACAGATGGCACAGACTGCTCCTTGACGTTTGTGGCTCAGACATTTGGAAAAGTGTGTATCCAGGGCCACAGTGGTGAGTTTAGTCACACAAGTTGAACAAACGAAAACCTATGAGTTTATTGTTGTTTCCTATCATAGTGTGACCATATTTTACACTGCAAGCCTTTTTGGTTGATGGGTATCTCCATTCGCTCTAGAGGTTGAAATTACATAGTGGTGTGTGGTAATAATATGTTACACAAAAACATAACATTATATTATATTTAATATATTTGGTTTTTAGTAGATGTCACCTGGAGTAATATGAAATTGAATGATTTATTTTTAAGACGAAACAATTAATTGATTAATGGAAAAAAAAGCACCAAATTTATAAGGAAAATAGTCACTAGTTACAGCTAGTATCATTTCATATTAATTTAAAGAAATAAAAAACTTTTAATGATTAGCATAAATATTATCCATTTAATTCAATTCACCATTAAGAAAATAAGGAAATAGTGAATTTTCATTGGCTGTTGACCGATAGCAGTGGTGAAATATTTGGTCATAGCAAACATTTCTTGGCTCTCCAAGTTTATTATCAGCCACACATTAATAATGTTTTTGCTTTCACAAACTTTATAGGAATGAATGGACTTTTGGTCCATTTATTGCAAGATCTCTAGAGACACAGAATCCCTTTTTATCCTCCTCTGGCATTTCTTTTTCTTTCTACAGGTCTGATGCTGTCAGTGATGGCTCCTCGGCTGTCTGTCTACACGCGCTCAGACATGGTGTGGCAGAGGGTTTGCTGGAAGCTGCTGGAGAACGTTCCACAGCGGTGGGTGGAGAGCGTGCTCACTGGACTGGTGCAGGCTGTGAGCGGGTAAAGTGGTTCAGTCACACGCATTTAAACAGCTAGCAGTTCATGTGGCTTCTAGCTATCCGTTTTCTGTTCCGCCTTCAATGACACCAGCCTCTTGTATCTTATTTTAGGCCTGATGCCTTGGGCAGGATCATTGGGAATCTGGTGTTAACGAATAAAAAAGCCCAGTATGTCATCACTCATAAACTGCTTTTACTACAGTACAAGTATGAGGTAAGAAGATAACTCGCATCTTGACAGTAAACCCTGTGTGTATCTTGTAAATATCATATGAAGCATGTTTTTTTTCCCCAGACTCGAGTCTTAAGAATTGTTCTGGGTTACCTCGCAGCAGACAGGGAGCGAAGGCCGCTCCTCATCCAGGTGAGTACATCAGGATGTTCAGCAGCTAAATTATATCATGTTATGTAGATACTGATGATTTGGATGCGTATTTGTGTGTTCTCAGGTGTTACGGTCTGTGTCCCAGGCCTGGGCTAACCCCAGTGCAGTGAAGCACACACCTTTAGAGCAGCAGCTGTATGTCAGCAAGGCCTTACTGCTCTGTGTAAGTCTGCTGAAGGACTCTGAGCTACAGGAGCTACGCTCAGGTACAAATAACAGTGTCTGGTGTCTCAAATCACTCAGTAAATCAACATAAAAACAGGGCAGGTTTTGTTTTCAGCAGCAACAAGGTATTATAGAAAGGATAATAAAGATTGTTGCTGTCAGCTCTCCTCTCTCTGTTGTGCGCCATTTTTCTCAGACTTACTTCAGTGTATGCTGGGCGGCATGCAGAGCCACCTGGACAGCAGTGTGGTGCGTATAAGGCGTGTGGGCATGGTGGTGGGAGAGTGCCTGAGCTCTCGCATGGATATCAGTGGAACCAAGCTCAAATTCGAGGTACAGTCAATCTGTAAATTGCAAGATAAAGTGCCGTCCGTTATGACAGCTGTCTAGTCCGCCTAACTGGCTTCAAAAACCTGTCTGAGTTTGTATTGTGCTGCGTTGTAGTATGATCAGGATGAGGAAACTCAAGAGCTGCTTTCTCTGATGACTCCCATAGCTGTTGATGAACCAGAGGCTGAGCCTGTAAACAGGTAAGTGTTTTTACATCTTTCTAACTGTTACATCAAGAGGTTGGCCTGTTGGTCCACCTAGCAGATGATGCTTTAATGGTCTGTGCTTACGTTTAGGATACTGCAAGTATTGTTTCAAAAGTTAGAAAAAGATGGCAAACTGTTCACCTGAAATTGTTCCAAAATTTCCAATTTAGCTACAATGCGTTACTGATATTTCATAGTTAAAATGTAAGAATCTGACGTTCTGTCATCTGCAGAGTCGACTCTCCTCCAGACACCAATGAGACTCCATCTACTCAGAATGTTTCATCTCAAAATAAATCAGGACCACAGCCAGACTCCGACCTGGACAGGTAAGCATTAGCTCTTCAGTTCAGTCAAGTGATTCTTTTGCATTCTAAATGTAATCATAGAATCTTGAATGTACTAAAGGAATTATAATAAGTGATTTGCTGTCTCTGACTGATGCAGCGATGATGAGCTCACTCCGTATGATATGTCTGGCGATCAGGAAATAAGTGAAGCCTCCCCACCCCGCTACCTACGAGACTGTCTGGAAAGTACGGCTCCACAGACTGCATTCATTTGACCTCACCGATCACTTCCTGTTTTGCGTTACTAGCTCCAGCTCTAATATCTTCTTATCTTTTGACCCATCCAGCTTTAATTTCCTCTGAGGACCCGGTGCGTGTGGAGCTCAGTTTGAGAGTTGCAGAGGGTTTGGTGAGGAAGAACGTCTTTGCAACCAAAGAGGTAAGACAGCAAGACAACAGGAAGTATTACACCTGTAATTGTTCTTTTTGAGGGCTTTTCATCCAAAAGGTGTTGTACCTTACCTTACTGTTGCTGACTGTAGTACAGGAATTTTAACATTTGCTACTTTGCTGCTTACAGATCATTTTTCACACTACAGTTGATTTTTGTTTTGTTGTTATTCCTTTTTCAGATCGGTGTCCAGCTGACCAAAGTGCTTCTTCACATGGAAGATAAATACAGCATAAAGGGCTTCCTGAGTCTCAGACAGGCGACCATGGTGGCGCTCACTGTCGCTGACTGTATCCAAGTATGATCTTTCACCTCAGTTTCTGCACTGTTATGCATCCTAATTATGTTGCTTTGTCACCAATTTCTGCTTGTTATTTTACTTTTCTGTTTGCTCTCCTTGATAGGTGACTCAGTATTTGACCACAGAGTTTTACTCCTTGAACTACAGTCTTCGCCAGCGGCTCGATATCCTGGAGGTAAAAACAACAGTGGCTGTGTGCCTTCACCAAATACAGTTAGTAATTCATTTGATCTCTTTTGATTATTGCCACAAGTGTAATCATGAGGTTGTTCTTGTTTTGGTTTTCAGGTCCTTGCTCTTGCAGCGCAGGAGCTCTCTAAGCCAATCACTGAAAAGGGAAATTCATCTATAGGAACCGCTGCCAGCACTGATTTGACTCCATACCCCGGTGACAACCCTGTTCACTGGCGACAAGAAGTCGAGAAGCGCATTCAAAGCAAGACAAAACGCCTCAGGAAGGTAGTTAAAGAAAACATTTTCATCTGCCTTTTTGGTATCTTAGTGAAGGAATATTTCTAAGCTCTTCAGTAATCTCTCTTGTGCTACAGGGTGCCACACAGCCTGCAGCTAAAGCCACTCCTAACCGTTACGCCCCTGTTGCTGGACACTTTTTTTTCCCTCTGCTCAGGAATTATGACAAGTAAATATGTTATTTTATGCAAATTTAAAAGCCTAAGACTTGTTTTTTTTTTTTTTTGCCAAAGTGTACAACAGAACATGTTTAAACTGAAATGTCATAACTTTCTCCTAGGCCACAGGTGACCTTTGACCTGTTGGGCAGCGACCATCTGGTACTGGGCAGGTTGATCCACACCTTGGGCCTCTTCATGCATCTGGCAGTCAATGCACCGGTAGTTTTATCTATCTGTCCATGCTAGTGTGACATGATCTCAATGTAGAGCTTTATATCAATATCAATGTGCCAAATGTTTGTGTGGGACTCTTGATGTAGTTATACAATATATTTAATTATAATATTTAATATAATATATAATGTTTAATTATGACAGAAAACAACAGTAGAGGGATTTATAGCCAGGCAGTTAGAGGCATCCATTGCTCATTTTACTGAACTAGAACAGTTGTAATTCAGACACTGTAGCCTTTAAGACCAGGAATAGACATTGACACAATATTACAATATTACAATAAACTAAATCCTAAACACTATGCTGTCCTACATTAGAATAACAATATAACACAGCAGTATTTCCCAGCTCTACCCGCATGGCACCCTTCTCACTTTTTTATTTTTACTTTTACAGATAGCTGCACAGATGGGTCGTGCTTTACTGGACTTTGTGTGGGCGGTGCGCTACCATGCTGACCAGTGAGTATGATGCACATCAGTGTTTTAGACAGTATATTTATGTAATCTCTGTGGAAAGTCTGAGAAAGCTAATTGGGGGTTGTTAACAGTACTATAATGTATCTTGCTACTAACCAGGCTTTTAATCATCAGCTTTAAATAGGTAACTGTATGGCTATAGCCTCTTCCTAGCAACATGTTTTAAATTCAGAATTAGAACAGCCAATATCCTTAGACACACTGTAAGGTCTGGACAGGATGTTTTGTTATCTTACTTCAGTCTGAGCTGTAACCTGAAATCTGTTTGTTTAAAGAATGGTGAGACGAGGCGTCCTCTTCGCTGTTTGCTCAGTGTTTTTGAGCATGAACAGTCAGAACCTGCTGGTGGACCTCAGTGATCAGCTGTTTGAGACCAGAACTTGGCTGGCAGGTAAAAAAAATAAAAATGTCGGTGACAAAGAACAAAGAAATCTTTAAATTTTATAGAAAGAGTCTCTCCTTATGACGTGGAAATCTGGCAGAGGATCTGTTCCAGTTTTGTTATTACAGGGCCACGTTCTCTAATAATAGATTAGCCCGAAAGCACATGATTCTTGTAAATGCACGAAGGTCGCAGGCTGCACCTGCATAATGTAATTCTGTCAGGGATGTCCCCTCAGTTACACACACACATATACAGCACACACGTGCACAGCTGGACTGAGCCTTTCTGGGAAGTACATGTGGAACCAGGATGTCCTGTACAACACAGACCGTCCATGATGTGATTGGCTCATCGGCTGTTGGACGTTTCTTTATCCCTCTGTGGAGAAAAGCAGTTTCACATTGCAGTGAATGACGTAGAGCTGAATGAGACAGTGCAAAGGACACATATTTTCCTCCCACGCAGGATTGTTAATTGTGCAAAGAAAAGGCCAGGATTATGTGAAAGAACAGACATAAAAAACAAAATGTGATTTTGCTTTTTGTAATTAAACTAAGATGTAGGCTTTCTTGTTGCCTGTAGTCACCACCACTAAAGCTGCCAGTAATCATCTTTAAAATCCGCAGATGTAGCTGAAGGAGACCCTGATGCGGATTGCCGGAGTCTGGCTGTACAGAGCCTGGTACTGCTGGATAAGAGCCTAAAGAAACAGCTACAAGATCAGCAAGCACTGGGCCTGGAGTCGTGATCACAGCATCACTAACGAACAATGAAATACTGAATGCATCCTCCGCCTGGTCCTCACAGAGCCCGAAGACCTGGAGTATTGGGGTCGATGGAAACGATGTTGCGGATATTGGCTGGCAGAGCTTATCATATCCTGGAACACACAGACAGCCAGCAGAAAAAGAGGCCATGTGTCTTTTTACACCTTTGTTTCACTGTATTGTTTAGATGAACATCTCTGTCTCAGCTCTTTATAATTTATGAACCAGATAAAATATTGATTGAATAGCGAATAGGATGCCATTTTTGTGCACCAATAAAATGTATGTCATGAGGATATCCTTTTCAAACCTCTTTCCTGCCCTGGCACATCTCTCTGTACGGTGGTTGTTTGTTTGCAAAGGACATCCTGTGAATATTCACCTGCATGCACGCATTCACAAATAATGGAAAAACTACTGCTACTTCCTCTTGTGACATAAATGTACATCTGTATGTTCTCAACAATGAAGCATTTTGAAATATACAATTGTTTATCGTTTTCATTTGTAATGGCCTTGACTCGATTACATTGGCATATTTAGTTGGAAGATCTGCATCGGCTAGTTGACTGTGTTTAATACAGATTCTTGTATGGACCCAAATATATTAAAGTAAATAAGGCTGAGAGAAGGGGGGATATAACCATACAGAAGATAAGCCTGTGATTGATTTTTACTTAGCAGCAGTGAACACTTCATGCAAAACCTTAATAAAAATTGTAATCAAATTTCCAAAATCTTTGATCAGGACTGACAAAGTTTGCCAAGATTGAAGAGAAGATAAATGTAATTTTCTGAGGTGAAATAATTGAAAGTGAAAACTGTGTACAAGCCAGGAGACATTAACCTAATGAAATTAAATAACTTAAGTTCAATTTAAAGTTTAAACCAAACTCATCTAAAATGGTGAAGGTCTTTGTTCAACAACAAAACAATCTGCAGCTAAGTTATTTATGAAATACCTGTTAAAAAAAACCACAAGGTACAACATCAAACCAAATCCATCAATCTGCAAATTGCCCATTCTACTTTGAAAAAACTGCATATCTATCTAAAAAATATACAAATGGGAGAAAATAATTTCCATGTGAAATCTTAAATTTAAAAAAAAATATGTATTACTACTACAATTTGTTGGTAAACTAAAGTCCCTCAAAAATGACAGCACGCCGTATTGGACTGTTATCACAACACCTTCGACGACGACTCGGGTTCGTTGTTTTCCGTAACCCCTCCCCCTCGTTGTTTTCCGTAACTCCTCCCCTGGTCCAGCCATTCGAGGTTGTCAGGGGCAACTGGGAAAGACGCTTTTTAGATCACACAGGAGGCTACACAACAACCCTGGAAGTTACGGTCGATGTTTTGAGTTGTTTCGAGATTAAACAACTACGTCGGCATTAACCTGAAGCAAACGACAGCGAGGTTGGTCTCCTGATAACTGAACAGAGCGGTTAACTCCAGTCTACAACAGTAAGGGGCCAGCAAAGGATGCTAACTTTGGCTAGCTTAGCCAACGTTAATGTTAGCGGCTAAAGCTAACTTAACCATTAGTCACATAACGCTACTAACGTTAATGGTGGCTGATATAACTATTATGGTGAATCCATAGCTCAGTTTAAGTCTACATTGTGTATCTGTTCCCTATTAGTGAACTAGGAAAGTGAACTAACGTTGACATATAAAGTGAAATTATACATTTGGATTCACTGGATGCTATTTGAGGGTACGTTATGGAGATTAATTAGCTGAGAAAGGGACATTAAACTGCACAACAGATACAAAAACGTGACATTAAAGAATGCACCATGAATAACAATGTATGACATTGGAGGTCCCTGCTGCCTTTCTCTTCTCCAGAGAGGAGCACAGGGGACATGGCGGTGTATTTTGACCACCGTATTGAGGCCCCTGAAAGCAGTGGTGTGCCCTCTCAGCTGACCTGGCACCCGGCTCTTACTGTGCTGGCTGTGGCCTCAAGCAGCCCCACCACTGGAGGCAATGTGGACCTCTACCTGCAGCAGGTAAAATCTGAGTTCTGCAGAAAAAGAAAGACCACTCTGTTATATCCACTAACATTAACATTCACTGTGTTACAGCATATTTAACTAAGTCTGCATACTTCATCCGATCATTTACAGGGAGAGTATGTTGAGAGCTGCCATTTAGAACGTCCTTACCAGCCCGCAGTGCTGCGCTGGCATCCCACAAAGCCAGTGTTGGCGGTCGGCTGGGAGAACGGAGAGGTGGTGCTGCTGACACATCCCCCTGGACATCAAACAGTCTTTCCCATCACACATACAGCCTGCATCACACTGCTGGAGTGGAGTAGCTCTGGCAGCCGCTTGGTAACTGGTGATCAGGTGAGTGTGTCCACAGACAATTTTCTTTTGGGAATACTTGGACCGAGGCGGGATTAACAACATGGCATAAACAGGATGAATTGCGTGCGATCTGAAACCATTTAACCTTCCCATTTCTGCTTATTGAACCACACAAATATGGTGTAATTATTTAATGACAGACTGGAGAGCTAGCAGTGTGGAAGGTAGATGCTAGAGGGAGACTTCAAGGAAACCATCTTGTGAAGCATGAATACAACAAACCTCTAACTTGCTGCATCTTCAGACCGGCGTCACCTGGGGAGTAAGTAAACAAGATGCAATGCTCCAAGTTAGTTATTCGTCCTCTTAAGTCTTTGGCATTGAGATAATGTTGGAAAATTGTCATATCACTATGCACGCTTGGTCTGAATGCTGAGTTGCTTAAACTAGGAATTCTGTTACAGCGACGTGGCAATGCTAGCCCGGGCATCAGTGAGTGGAGATGAGAGTGCTCTAGACATGTTCAGCTGGAAAGGAGCACCTCTCAAGATGGGTCCACAGGAGGGACTCGCATTCTACGTCAGCACTGCAGATGGTAAGAGTTAGTCTGTCTAGTGTGCTGCATTTTAAGAAAATTCCTGCCTGATAGAGTTTTTCTTTTTTTTTTTTTTACCACTATGAGTATGTTTCTTTAGAGCCACGGTGATGATCATGAGCTACACCATCATTTTCTGCCAGACTGTTCTCTCAGACAACTCGCTAGCTCAATAAAAATACTTTTGTGGCTTGAAAATTAATAAAATATATATAAAAATAATTCTGGATAAGGAAAGTGAAAAAGGAGTGCTTGCCCCTCCCTCATTACTCCCACTGGGGTGCCCTTGGTTATTGACCAAAAGGAATCTAAAGAAAGTTGAGAGAGCTTCGAACAGGCTTAAGACATATAATTTCATCCAGACTTAAATGTAGATTACTTAAACCATATAAAGCTTATTTTCAGTTCAAATCATTAAACCCACTGTGGCATTTTTTCCATAAACATTAATAGTTAAAAATATAACCACACAAACACATATGATCATTTTTGTGCAATGTTGCAACAGATGTCTTACTTTTGACATCTTTAACTCGGTGTACCTTGTCTATAGGTAAGGTCTACAGTGTGGATGACCATTGCAAGACAAGCACCCTTCTCAGTGTGGAGGGTGCAATCCAGAAATTATTCTACCTTGAGAAAAGAGATGCGCTTGCTGTGATCACAGAGACACTGATGTTGTCACAGTACACCCTTGGACCCGAGGGAGGAGCCCAGGAATTTATGAAGGTATAATAAAATCATTAAATCTGTTGAAAAGCATGGAATTGTGAATGGCTTATGTTTGTACTAGTAGGTCACTGTAAAGACCCCCAGTGTGAGAAATCATAGGTCAGTTTAAACTAATAAACAGTTGTTGTTGTTTTTTAATGAAAGGTTAAGTTGAGCAGCAAGACTGGGCAGAATGTAGACATTGTGTGGACAGAGAATGGCCTCCTCATCACAGCAACAGGGGAACCGGTTATCAGGTTAGTGTACATATACTGTTTGTAGACACATACTGTACATTCTCATTTTAAACACCTGTGTCTGTGTCTGTGCATATCCGTCTCTTTCATCTTTTAGACTATGGGACCTGGAGCGAGATGACAACTATGTTTTGCCTCTCGACGAGACTATGGGTTTTGAGAGAGGAGAGATCATCAACTGTGTTTCATACTGTGCAGGAAAAGGTGCATATTTCATATTTGTACAAACAATATAAAGTGATGTTTTTCTTCACCTTCCTGTGGATTTAGTAGTTTCAAGATGTTTTTATTTCATGACATTCTCAAACCTTGAGTAGACTGGTTATACATAATCAGTCCCCTTGATAATCACAATGTTAGTGCTGGTGTGTGAACCCCGTAAAGCCTCATTGCTTTTGTATAATGTTCCAACCTCCCCAGAAATCTTGGCAGCCGGTACCAGCCATGGACGCATAGCAATGTGGAGGATGGTGCAGACAGGCGCCAACAGCAGAGGTGATACCAAAGCCCAGTGGAAGCTACAGACACCCACAGAAATAGAGGGCAATGTCACTCAGCTACAGGTACAGTCTGGACCACCATTTGTACAAAACTATTTTTATCAACATATGTGTAGTATTCTGCTGGGAAATGTTACTCACACTTTACTTTACTTTCAGTGGGGCTCCAGCCTGAATCTGCTGGCGGCCAACAATTCGAACACAGTGCTGATCCTGTGGGAGCATGTGATGTCAGCCCACTTCAGCCAGCAGGTGGCAGCAGTGCAGCTCACCCCAACCCATCTCAGCATCACTCAGTTCAGCACAGGAGTGCACCTTGCTCTGCAGTCTGACATGCACATCAAGGGAGTGTGTGTAACCAAGGTAAGTGTGGAGTTGAGAAGTGGAAAGTGTATAACTGTTATTTCTCTGTATTTAAGTAGAACATGAAACTGGATGTGTGTTGTCATACCTACAGGATTCAGTGACAGTCTGGAGTGGCAAGCAGGTCACTGTGTATGAGCTTTCAGGGACAGTTCTTCGCAATACAGGTACGATGCTTACGGAAAATCCCACTGAACAGACCAAACCCCACTGATTCCCCTGTCCTTGATTTGTAAACTTTTTTAAGCTTTTCTCCTTCATTTCTCAGGATCGTTTCCATGTGACTCCCATGTAGTAGCAGTACATGGCGAGAACCTCTACACTGTGGAACCTAACAGGGTCCAGATTCGCACGCCACAGGTCCGTTGTCCCACCCTGGAACCTACCATCCAATATTTACATTCACATTTTCTTTTGTTTTGTCATTTTCTTTCTTTTTGTTTTATGTTTGTGAATGAAATCTGCTTATAAATTAGCATAAACAAACAGTCAAGTGGTTTTTAACACCATAAATTAAGTTCAGTGTTGAACCATCTTTTATGCTTTCTTTTCTTTAGGGTACCGTGAAGCAGCTACTGACCTTCTCCAAGGCAGAAGGCAACCCTATACTGCTCAGTGTGTGTCAGTCCTATCTGGTTGTCGGCACAGACACAGCACACATTAGAGTCTTTGACCTCTCCCGAAGGTATGATGTAAATATGAATGTTGGGGTCAGTTAAAAAAGTTGTAGAAAAAATGCCAGCTGACTTTCATGTATTGTAATTTTCTGTTCATTGACATTGTTTTGTCCAACAATGGCAATCTTACTATTTATATTTATAGAGATGCCAAAGCTCACTGCAGTGCTAAGAACCTGGCTGAGCAGATTGCCAATCTGGGAGCACTGAGATCAGTCAAATGTAACGCCAATGGCAGCCAAGTCAGCATCCTAATCTCTCAGGTGAATGAACAACATTTGACTCTCCTTTCTGAAAAGCTGTTCAGTATCTAGTTTTTGAGAGCTGATATTGATATTTATTCTAAAAGTATATTATCCTTATTTTCTGTATTTTAAAATGTGACTGTTTCTCTGTGTACAACGTTTCCTCTCAGGTTAATGGACGTCCTGATCACAAAGTGTACTTTTATGATGTTGAGATGGACACTGTGACACACTTTGACTTCTTCATTGGCAGACCGTCTAGCGGTATTTCACAGCCGGAAGACAGTGAAAGGTAACTGACGTTGCTTTTGACTGTATTTTTCATGTAGAGGTTTCTCCTCTACAGAAACCTACAGAAGGTTGTGCTATACTGTACATGTCTGTTCTGTGTTTCAGGCAGCAGTTTCAGGGGACGGAGCTCAGTGGTCGCTGCCCTGTATCACACTTCTGGGATGAGAGTGAACCTCGTCTTTTCGTTTGCGAAACGACACCGATGAGCTCAGAATCCTCATCAGCTGGTTTCTTGGATACGGTACAGACTGCTCCTTAACGTTGAGATAGTCCTTTACAGCTCCATGTGCAAGGCATGGATCAGCAGTCAGCATGTGATTACTTGTTCTATGATTTTAATAAGTGTAAAGTAAATTGAAAGTAATTTGACAGTGTGTTGCCTTCCCTCTGCTCAGATGGACGTGTCGGTAGTGACACTCTTCTGCACGCAGGAGCATGGGCTTCTCCTACAGGACTGCTACCCTAAACCTGCAGGCCTGCAGGCGCTCCTCGCTCTGGACGTGCCCTACTATTGTTTCAGCTGCAAGGTAAGGACGGAAAACACTCTGCTTGTGTGTTGTTTCTTCAGTGGGGGGTTTCTCATTCAGCATGTGGAGTTTCTCCTTGGAAAGATGAAGGCAGACTGTTGCGAAACTTGAATTGTCTTAAACACAATCCTTGCATGTTTGTTTGCACCCATCACTATTCTTATTTGAAACTCTGTGTTTGGTCTTACACAACCCAGCTATTATTTCGGAGGGGGGGTGTCTTTCAACCAGAAGTAAGTGTCTGTCCCCTGCAGTCTGTTCAGAAAGCTTCAGTATTCTTGACTCCCAACTTCCAACAACTGTGATCGTGTATGCCTTGTGCTGCATTTATGCAAAAATTAATCATCAGCACAAGTGCACCCCTGAAATATCTAGATGTCACTATGCTGTGTCCAGCTCCCATCCATGTTGTCTTGATGAATAGATTTGTTCTGTGATGATTTGTTGTTGTTTGGTTTGCTCTACCTCTTCTATCCATTCCCCCAAATCCCTTGTTTCCCCCAGGATTTAGGATTTTATGTTTATTTTACTAATAATAATCATACCTCACACCCTACTGTGTTCTTCTTTACTGGCTGTGAATCACATGTCTGCTGATCTTAAAACCATATTTTCCTACCTGCTCTACCTCTCCTTAGCCTGGTGAGAAAGATCCAGCGTTAGTAGAGATTTCCACTACAACATCAGCACCTGCCCAGTTCCCCAATATGGTGTCCAGGCGAGCTCTCCGAGACTTTGTGGGCCTGGAGAACTGTGAGAAGGCCACCCGCGACGCCATGCTCAACTTCAGCTTCTACCTGACCATCGGGGATATGGACGAAGCCTTCAAGTCTATCAAGCTCATCAAGAGGTAAGGCATCCATACGTGCATACCATCAGCTTCGTGGGGACGGGCACATCCCCCCCATTTGATGGCTGTCATCACTTCTCCCTGAAGTATTTTCCACAGGAGCTTTAGTTCAAAGGCTTATCAAAGGCCATAGGGATAGCATTGTTGCTACAGCCTTGACTCTTCTCAGAATGCTCTACAATGGTTTGCAGTGGGAGAGCTGTAACTAATTCTTTTTATGAATTACTTCGAGAATGGGGCATTGTGTCCCCTCATTTCATTCTGCACCTTTGACTTCTGAGGTCAACATGAGGGAAAACTACCACAATAGTTTTTCTTTAAGCCTGACAGGTGATCAAGGCACTAAACACTGCCTATTTTATTATTTTATATTCTAAAAAATAATGAAATAGGCAGTGTTTGTTATTCCTAAGCAATAAGAACAAAGCAGGCACTTGACAGGTCAACAAAAAGAAATTCCACACCACTGTATGTGTCATTGGAAAGGCTAATACATTTTAAATACTGTATGTGCATTTAATAATAAATAAGACTAAATGCTGCAGTTTGTGTATCATACCATGACCACAATCAAATCAGATCCACCTTAGCGTAACATTTATCTGTTTATGTTAGTACATAAAGTAGAATTTCAAACACAGGACATGATTAAGGACTTTTTCTGTGTCTTTGCTTAGGGAAGGAACTCTTCAATGTGTATATATGTGACTGTTTCTGTTGTGCGGGTGTGTTCTGAGGGGATGTACTTTTCTAAACACACTACACTGCACACACACACACGCACACACACACACACGCACGTATGTAGTAGATCCCCCTGCCAGTTTGGTCCAAAAGGAGTGCCCTTTCCATTCTTGCAAACATTGAATCAGGTCACTGAAAGGATGTGTGTGTGTGCGTGTGTGCGTGTGTGTCAGGGAAACGTATGTGATTTCAGCAAAGATCTGATATTATCTTTAGCAGAATACGTGATTCAGGGCACTCACTCTCAATTCTGCTGTGGCGTTTCTCTTGCACGTACAAACATTACACAAATGGGAATCAGCATATCCCACCGGCCGGATAGTCCAAAGAATTTAATAGGCATGATGACAGCTTTACTAAGTTCCTCATTGATGGCTATTTTTACTGCGGCTTCTTTTTTGAAAAAAAGATTGGTATTGTGTTCGATTCCCGCATATCTCCGCCCACAGGATTATGAATTTCCTGCCACAGTAACCTGTATCTACTGGGACTTGTCTTGTGTTGATCTTTGAATTTAAAAAGGTTCATACTCAAGTCAGAGCTGGCTTGCCATCCATGAGTCAAGTTAATTTCATATAGTACATGTATTTGAGGATTTACAGTCCAGTTTCATTGTATCAATGGGGCTTTACTCAGCCTTGTCCCTGGATGTTGTCAATCGAGTAGAGAAAAATTATTAAAGTTACAATTCACTTTACCCAAAACAGATATTCTCAGAATGAAAGTCCCTCTGCCTCCCGAAGCAGCCTGTCAGATACAGGTTGGGATGTCTTTACTCAATCCAGACTGTGCTACTTCCTCTCATTCATATTGTCCTTGACTTTAGGTGACATGCTGCAGGGTTATCTGCCCATATGAATCAAGCATTCTCTTACTGTATTTTTGCCACAGCATTTGCTATTTAAAAGCAAAACTCCCCCTTTCCATCAGGAACAAAAACACTCACAGAAGTGTTCAGGGGTGAAGCAATGACTGATGGATGATGTTGTAGTCATCATAATTGGCTGTGGTACATGTGACCCCCCCCCCCTCTCGAGTTTAATGCCCCATCTTGTCGATCACGAAAAGTATCCGCAAGTTCACTGCACAAAACGGTTAAGCTTGTCCTTCTAATAATTACGTCAGATCCTGTCTTTCTTCAATTTGAAAAGTAATTTTCTTATAAAGACAGTGTTGGCATATAAAATCATGTTACCAGTTCATTCACTGATAATTTATCTGGATTTTTTGTTTTGTTGGGAGTGTTTGTGTGGGACCTGCATTGCTGCGATGTAACTGTGGAAATACACCACATTGAACACGTCTCGCTCGGTAGTAACAAAAACACAACAATTC